AGTAGAACCTTACACAGCAAGCAATAATAAGGCTCTTTTTACTGCCTTAGCTATGCGTTGATCTGATGTTCCTTGGCCGTCCTTGTCATGGACATACCCTTGACACCAGTAGCTGAGAGCCTTACTCGGTATACTGCAATGCAAGTGAAACATCTGTACAAACAGTCGCCTATCCTTGTTGCCATGGCAACACTGTTGATATGTGCAAGTTCCTATCTGCGTTGCCATAGTAATCATGATATGCACAGCCGTTAGCCAGGAGCAGGGCTGACGCATCTGCCAACAATTGACGAGTCAAGTGTGTCCCTGAGCCTGGAGATCGCTCTCCACAAAGCAGAGAGACCTGTCATCTTCAGGCCGCTCCGGATCGTATCACTGCGCCATGGTGACGATCGTCCTCGTTAAACGGCGGCTTTTACTTGTGCAGACTAAACGGCATGAGTTTTCTTCCTTAGTTTGAGCTTGGGGAGTGAAAGAGTCTGGCTGCCTTGTGCGGCGTGAGACTCTGGACAGGACCGTGAGACCTCTCTGTGCCTTCATCGCTGACCGAAGAAGACATAGGAATTGTTTTATTTATTTTATTATGAAAGTACACATGCCTTCATAGGGAATGGAAGAGAACAACAACAACAGGATTGTGGACGCCTTCGATATCCTAACACCTTGGGGGCAAATAGGTTCTGGTGGAGCGCAACCTCCGCTCCACATATCGACCCCTTTGTCATCCGCCGAGCCAAACAAAAGGGCCTTCACACACTGGGCTCGTACCGCATCGTCGTCTTTGTCTACCATTAAACGGGGTGCGACAACACCTGCGGTATGCACACTTGTTTGATTCCTGTCTGACAACAAGCAGCTGAGCCAATCCGCCAACCGCGCCGCCATGGTTGCCTTTCAGCTTCAATCGATGCGTTGGGACAGGATGTGTTACACTCTTACATTCTTGAGGAGATTTATGGCTTAAATAACTTTAATACATGGAGACTAGAAGCGCTCAGTAGCGAACTGACTCTCACCAAGCATGCTTTCTTTGTTGTCCGGTTGGCCATTGCAGCCGGCGTTGTAGGGCCGACGTAAACCCCTAAACGTCTGTCATCAATGACCAGCCAAGTGCGTCTCCTTCTCCTTCCTCTTCGTTCGCTTCTCTACAGTGATGCGATTGTCATCAGGCCTTTTTGCCTGTTCTGCTTGCCACTCTAAATAAATACAATACAATACAATAATTTCCTTGGAGACAGGAATGCAATTATAGTTTATTATACTTAGAAGAAGGATGCACTTCAGGCTCTTGAACATTTAGAAACCGTTGACTAGTATACGTTCATGCCTTATCATCAGGTTAAATAGGGGCAAAATCAAATGAACATGGACAATGGATTAAATACAGCAGAGAGCTGATAGAATACTTGTACAATACAATTTCCCTGCGCTGTTGCGTCTCTGCAGGTCGGTGACAATGTCCTGGTACAGACCTCGCTACCGATCCCCGGTGCTGAGGACCTCCAGTATCTCGTAAATCCGCCGGCAATGACTTGCTTTGTGCCGGCACAGGTGACTGTTGTACCCCGTCAGCTATCCTCGTCATCCTCGAGTCTCAGCCCGTCGACGGCTTTCTATACCGTCCGCCTGTTTACTTCATGCAAGGTAAGACGCGCAGTATGTACGAGTATGCCTGCCATGGTGTCTGTAAATTAGTGTGTGTGTGTGTGTGTGTGTGTGTGTGTGTGTGTGTGTGTGTTGGTGGTGTTTGTGTATGTGTGTGCACGTGTGTGTGCACGTGTGCATGCGTGCGCACAAGTGTGTGTGTGTGTGTGTGTGTGTGTGCCCGCGCCCGCGCAAGTGTGTGTGTGGATGTATGAGTGAGTGGGTAGGTCCATGTGGCCAGTTCCCAAACTTTGTGACACTACCGTCCGTAAACAAGTACGTGCCCAAAAATATGCACCTGCCTTCATTTATTGCCACACTGTCCCATGCAGGCAAGAACTGCCCCAAATATGCATCCCTTGTGTGGTCATGTGACTCTCCATTCCATTCTGATTCCATTCTGATTCCATTCTGATTCCATTCTGATTCCATTCTGATTCCATTCTGATTCCATTCTGATTCCATTCTGATTCCATTCTGATTCCATTCTGATTCCATTCTGATTCCATTCTGATTCCATTCTGATTCCATTCTGATTCCATTCTGATTCCATTCTGATTCCATTCTGATTACCTGCTTATCAGTCAACTGGTGGTGCACCTGTTCAGACTGCCTATTGCATTTACAGGCAACAAGTATGTGCCCTGTTGAATGTGTGTCTGTACGTGCTTGTATTCAATTGCTGAATTCTCCTGCCCAGATCACAACATTCCGTGACGACATGATCAAGATCTCGCAGACCCAGTACTCGTTTGCCATTCGCTACATTACATCGTTGGAGCAAGCTGACGTAGGGTATGTCCTCAGAAAGTGAAGATCTGACGTCATTTCATAACCCTCTGCACTGGCCTGTGAAACGCGGCGCAGAGATACGCTGTCACTGTTGCAATCTGACGGCATAGCATACTAGTGGCAGGAAGGTTGCTTATCAGCTTGAACAACCTTCCTGCTGTTGCTGCTACTTGTACTGCTGCTGCTGCTGCTGCTGCTGCTGCTGCTGCTGTATTGTTGCTGTATTGTTGCTGTATTGTTGCTGTATTGTTGCTGTATTGTTGCTGTATTGTTGCTGTATTGTTGCTGTATTGTTGCTGTATTGTTGCTGTATTGTTGCTGTATTGTTGCTGTATTGTTGCTGTATTGTTGCTGTATTGTTGCTGTATTGTTGCTGTATTGTTGCTGTATTGTTGCTGTATTGTTGCTGTATTGTTGCTGTATTGTTGCTGTATTGTTGCTGCAGCCACCGCTGCTGTTGTTGCCGTTGTTGCCGTTGTCGATGCCACTGTCATTGCCGTTGTGGTATCTGCCGGCGATGGCTGCCATTGTTATAATGTGGTTGTTTGTTCACGTGCATTATTGTTTCCACGTCGCGTGTTTGTGTCCCTGAAAACTCTCCAGCGTTCAGTTGACCCTGTTTCCGGAGGTGGCAACGGCAGCTTCACCACGCCGTGTGTCACCCAGCACCTCTCGGCAAGCTTTGCAGCAGACGGCACCTCTGGCACAAGTGCACGAAGAAACGCCAGCAATACCGCTGGCACAAAGCCAGCCAACTTCAGTCCAAGTCTCACCAGTGGTCAAACAACGTAACGGCACTACACCACAATCATTGCCTGTAAATTCGACGCCCACTCGTGACGCGACGCATTACGATGACGATCAGTTGTCCGTGGCATCGTCCACAGCTAGCTCGGCACGGCAGCGGCGATACAGCACGCACACGCTGCAGCAGCTGTCAGAGCAGACGGGCAAGTTGCATGCGCTGCATGGTGAGCTGGTGACCAGCTCTGCCCGGGACAAGGCCAGCATAGCCGAGCAGTGCACTGCCCTGGTCAGGCAGCACGAGGAGACCATGGCGCTGTCGCAGCAACTCCGCCAGCAACACGCCGAGCAGGCCGAGCAGTTGCGACTGCAGCTGCTCACCGAGCACAAACAGCAACAGGACCTGGTGAAGTGCACCATCGAGAGCACCACCGAGCTGGAAAACGAACGCCGCCGCGCTGCACAGGAAGAGCACCGAGGGCAGGTAGCTTCACTGACCGCAGCGCTCGACCAACAAGCCAAGCTCCAGCAGCAGATCGAAGAGCAACAACGCCAGCAAGAGCAGGCGTTCTCAGTGCAACGGGACAAACTGCTTGAGCTCGCCAAGGGCTTGGAAAGACAGCAGCAGGACCACGCGAGCCTGGTCGCCACCGACCGAGAGAAACAAAACGCTGAGCACGTCGGCCGCCAGCAAGATCTCGCCACTATGCTGGAGAGCATGAAGCTGCAGCAGGAGCAGCTGCAGCAGAAGCAGGCGGAACTCGAGCGCGCTCAGACGGAGGTTGCAGCGGTTCATGAGCAGCAGAATATTGAGGGGTTGGGCAGTGCTGGCCATTCTTCGCTGTCCTCTCCGCTGCAGGCCAGTCTGAGCAGTCTGCTCGACTACCTACCTGAAGGTGCTAAACTGGAGACGGTGCAAACTGAAGACGGAGAGGATGCGGTGCTGGTGCGACATGGGGACGTCGGTGTCATCATTTCCACAAGTAAGCGAGCAAGCCCTTTCATCCTGTATTGCAATTCCAGTGGAGTACTTATCAATAGTGATAGACTTTGCTTGGGCATTGAACACGCATTCTTGCTTTGGAGATGGACTCTCGTGTGCTCTGGATGGCAGGCGTGAGTCAGTCAAGTGTCAAGTCGGCGAAAAAGCGCGAACTTCGGTGTGGGATGCGACCACCTTTCTTATTCTTGCTTGTGACATTATTATTGGCCTCTCTCCATAGCTTCACTTGGTTTCATTTGACTTCACGGTTGGTGCACCCACTTGCACACTGCTCTTCCACAATGCTCTTTGTTGCCAATTGTCTTTTGTGTTCTGCTGTGCATCTCCATGTTGGCATCACAACAGCTCAAGGCCTGGAGTCGCTGTCGTCCTCTCAGATCGGTATCTCTCCGGTGCTGGAACGACGGGCACCGCCGCGAGTGCTGGCAGCCGGCGAGGAGGTGATCGCACGCTCCGGTAACGACGGCTGGTTCTTCCCAGGTATGTGTGCCGTGGCTTAGGGCCCCTCGTGTCCTCTCCTTCCTTGACCAGCTGCATCGGAAATGATATGAAATTAGAACTAATAATTGACAGGGGCGTCGGAACCGGAGCGGCAAGTTTGGCTAAAGCCGCACCAATAATTTCATTTTGGGATTTTGAACCAACGGAATATGGGCTATTTGGGCCCAATTTCCCTAACATTTTCCCGGGGGAGGACCCCCAGACCCTCCACTCTTTCATGGCTGCACCAATGTCGAATACCTTCCGACACTCCTGAGTGTACAGTGCATGCTGGTAAAGAAAAAAACTTCAGTATAACTCACCCTCGATACAACATACTTTGGATAGAAGGTACTGTGGGATACACAGTGGAACCCGGGTGTACATGTACATGTACTAACTCATACAGGAGTACACATGTACATTGTATGTTGAGATGAGAAGCAGCAGCAGTCCCGTAGCTGACAGTGAACCTGCAATGGAATTGGGCATCGAGCAGGACCAACACTCACTTCTTTCATTTTGTATGCTATCTTCATTAGTTTATTGAGTACATCTTCAGGGTATCCGTTCTTTATGCTGGCTATTGCTAACTCCGTGTCCAGGTATCGTACAGGACTTGCAGCGCGACGGCACGTACTTAGTGGCCAACGGCTGTGGACTGCTAGAGGCGGTGGCACGTCAGCACATTCTCTCCGATCAGGACGACTGTGCTAACGAACTGAATGTAAGCGTGTGAACGGGGGCTGAGTGAACTCGGGGCGTGCTGCTGCCTGGATTATTCACATTGGCAACTACATGTATGTGTGCAGGGGGGTGTAGTGAGAAAGACGTTTGTCAGATGGGATGTACGCATGTGGCAGCTACCACTACTGCATATCCAATAAGCACAGTGCTGCTCGATGAAATCCGGTCGTGTGAGTCAGGTTTGCGGTTCGCACCATTTCGCAGGCCAGTGTCCGCAGGTCTAGGGCTGCGTAACGCCCGGCGCGTACTTCAGTGACGACGCGACTGCATTCCATTGAGCACTCCACTGGACTGTAAGTCTAGAAACTTTCAGCACATTCAAATTTCGGCCTCCCAGGGGCTAAAACCCATTTCGGCCGCATCAAATTTTCGACCTCTACTGCTGCCGCCTGTATACACTGTCACACTGAACCTTGCAAATCAAAATTTCGGCCGCAACAAATTTTCGGCCAAACATGGCTAGGCCAAAAATAGCCGAAAATAAATATGCACCGAATATGTTGTGACTTACAGTATAATATTGTATTAGTCCAGTGTCACGAATCTGAAAGATGTTGCTTCACAGGTCCTGTCTCAAACCCAAGCCAATACCGTGAGCTATGCAGGGATTGAAAAAGACTATGTGTAAGACCTCAGATCCCACCAGGAGATCCGTTCGACCCGAAAACCAGCATCGACAAACTGTTTCCCATGCACTGCCGAGAACGCACACAATGCGGAATGTGTTCATCATGAGCATGATGTCTGAGAATGTTGGTGTTTCCATAATGCCGGTGGCGAGAATTAGCAGCCAGCAGTTCCATCATTCCTGTGAATGTCTGCATGTTTGTACTGCAGCTGGGCGATCCAGTGCTGGCGCTACATCCTAGCTTTGTGAACAGCTATGCACCAGGTAAGCAGGGGTTGGGGAGGGGACATAAGCAGGGGTGGGGAGGGGGGGGGGGGGTAAGCAGAGGTGGGGAAGGTGGGGGGGGGGGGTAAGCAGGAGTGGGGAGACGGGGGAGGGGGAGCAGTGCAGAAACGGGCACAGCATTCGCTTTTCTATCCCCTTCAAAAAGAAGAAGAAATGGACAAAGTGAGCAAGCAGGATGCAAGCAGGATTCAAACCTGCAACTTTGTGAATCTCAAGTAACCTACTATACTACCCCGCGACACTGTGTTCCAGGTGATCAACCTGTTGTTGGGTCAGTCTTGTACATGTACCTGGAATGTACACGGAATGCACAACAACCAGGGTATTCTATTGTACAGCATGCTACACTATAGAGGTGACTAAGATAACTCCTAAAAGATCAGATTTTGTACTTGGCCTATATATACCGTGAAGTCTTGTATAAAAGCCGCACTTGAATAGAAGCCGCCCTCGAATAGAAGCCGCAATTTTGGGCCCATCAAATCACACCTAAGCCTGGTTTTAGTGTTGACATACATAGAAATACCTGCCTTGTATAGAAGCCTGTCTCACATAGAAGCGTGCAAAATTTCACCAAGAAAGTCATAGAAGCCGCAGCTTTTATACAAGACTTTACGGTATTCACCGTAATAGACCTCCGGTCTTTGTCAATATCCTATGCAAACACCGTGTATATAAGGTGGCTCTAAACGTGCTCTGCGTTCACTGCTTCACATTCGGGGTGGCCGTGTTGTAGGCTTGACGAGTTGATTAAGCATGCCTCGGTAAACATAATTATGTTGCTTGCTCTCGATGTGTTTTTTTTATGAAGGTTATGTCCAGAAGCTGAAGACGGATGGCAAGTTGAAAGTGGAGTTCTATGATGGGAAAGTGGTGAGTCTGCAGTTCAAGATCTGGTGGAAACATACCTTCACTAAAGGCCGGCGGTATGGTAATCCTCTGTCATCATTCTAGCGTTCCAGCGTGAATCTCACTGCTACGGGGATGTGAAGTCTCGATTTTTGAAAAAGAGCATTGTGTGTGCGTGTGCGTGTGTGTGTGTGTGTGTGTGTGTGTGTGCGTATGCGCGCTCACGTGTGTGTGTGTGTGTGTGTGTGTGTGTGTGTGTGTGTGTTCATGTGCTGTGTGTTGGATACCAGGCTAAAAATAGTGGCGGTCAATTCATCAGCCTTGCAAGCTGTTGAATGGTGCAATCCCAGCACAAGTTGCTATGTCTAACATAGCTGTTCACTATCATCGCTTCCGCGATGGGCAGGTCTGAGGTCTGAGGTCTGAGGTTCATGTGTGCGTGTTTGCATGCACGCGTGTGTGTATGTATTTGTGTGTGTACTTCGAACGTCATGTTTTCCATACACAATCCCCTGCAGGGACGTGTTGAGCGTCATGACGTCTATCTTATCTCACCCGAGGTGTTCATTGAGGTGAGCATGTACATTCGTCAGCAGGAGGCCAGTTTCGTCGGCGCGCATGTGGTGGCGCGCTACAACCAAGACGCCTTCTACTATCCCGGTACGGTGGTGTGTGTGTGCGTGCGCGCGCGCGCGCGCGCGCGCGTGTGTGTGTGTGTGTGTGTGTGTGTGTGTGTGTGTGTGTGTGTGTGTGTGTGTGTGTGTGTGCATGTATGCTTGCCTGCCTGCGTGTGTAAAGTAATATTTCCCATGGTCTTGTGCCAGACTGCAACCTGGATAATATCTGCACATGCATAGCGCACAGCCTGATATGTGCCCATGGTGCCTCGCATATCCCATACATGTTAAATCGTAGCAGCAATCGAGATGCTCAAGAGCAATGCCACTGTCACATTGGGTAACCTGAAAATTTTGCTGTTTGGCTATGCACCTCTGTGCTCGTGCACTTCTGTTCTGACACCATGCTGGTTGTGCTATGATCCTGTATCTCTACACGTATGCATTGCTCACACACACACACACACACACACACACACACACACACACACACACACACACACGCACGCGCACGCGCACGCGCACGCGCACACACACACACACACACACACACACACACATACTGTGTCATGCCTGCAGGTCTTGTGATGTCACAGCAGGGAGCGTCGCACACGTACGCCGTGCAGTTCACGCAGTCCGGAGTGCTGCACACTCAGGTATGTATTGTGTGGCAGGGACTTCTATTTGAACTTTCTGAGCATAAACCGAGCAGTTCGTTTGGCAGACACTTGAAGTCGACTTTCATGCGCAGGGAGCCTTGAAAGAGATTCGCGTAATGCACTTGACAAAGATGGTAAGGTGACCACCTGTCCCAGAAGACCAAGGCATGCTATTTTTAAAGTATTATTTTCCAGTCCACTGGCCCTGGATAGGAAGACCGACCACCAGTCCACTGGCCCTGGATAGGAAGACCGACCACCAGTCCACTGGCCCTGGATAGGAAGACCGACCACCAGTCCACTGGCCCTGGATAGGAAGACCGACCACCAGTACACGGCGACTAGCTATATTTGGAAGGTCCCTTGAGCGGTTGGCTTAGATAGGCTTCACTGTAGTGTTCCTTTGCTTGTGAATGTATATGCATGTGTTCCTGTAGATGGTTCAGCATGTGTTCAGTCGCCGAACACCACAGCCTGCCATCTCTCTGGGTTGCCGAGTGCTAGCACCACTTCTAGCTGGTAAGTGCCATGCACTCTGTGCTTCCCTGGTCTTCTGTAAACCGGGAAACACTTGCGCTGGTATTGGCTAGCGCGATTTGCGAGCACAGACAAATTTACACCTGGAAATGTTTGCTTTTGGAGTCAATTTCGTCAAGTTTCTTTGCTACAGTTTCTACATTTCGAGCCGGCTTGCTTTTGCGATTTTACACTCATCGTGAAAACCGCGAAGGATTCCAGATCACAAAGGTTTCTGGGTTTACAATTAACACAGCACATGTGACGCATATTGGGTCCTTGTCCGCGTGTGTGACCGTAACGTGTCGATCTCTAGTCTGCTGGTCTGCGGTAGTCTACCAGTCAACGCCGTTCCCAGCTGACTCTCTCTCTCTCTCTTTCTCTCTATTTCTCTCTCTCTCTATTTCTCTCTCTCTCTCTCTCTCTATGTGTGTGTGTGGGGGGGGGGAGGGGTGTGTGTGTGCGTGTGTGTGTGTGTGTGTGTGTGTGTGTGTGTGTCTCTCTCTCTCTCTCTCTCTCTCTCTCTCTCTCTCTCTCTCTCTCTCTATGTGTGTGTGTGGGGGGGGGAGGGGTGTGTGTGTGTGTGTGTGTGTGTGTGTGTGTGTGTCTCTCTCTCTCCAGACTTGTCCGTGTACCTGCCAGGCTGGGTTTCCGGTGAGAAAGGCAACTTGCTGACCATCAGCTTCATCAACGGAGAACAGTAAGAATGTGTAAAGCACGGCAGTGGTTTCACTGGCACTACCTGCAATGCAGTCTAGACACTTTAGGAACACACTGGCAAATCCTTTATGGCAACACTACGATGAATTTCTTTTTTCGACACCTTGCCATATGCTGTATAGTGTATGCATTATGTATGTGTACTTCCTTTGCCAATGTGGATTTGTTCTGTGATTTGCAGTTTGCATGTACAGTAAAAGCTGGTGTAAGCGACCTCTGTGCTTAGCGACCACCTGCTCTTAACGACCGTCTTCCCATGCACCGACAGTTCTACACAGACACTGTGGGACCTGGTTCTAAAGATCACCTGGCTTTTGCTTGCACCGTGGGGTGGATGCTTAAACCAGTTTTACTGTACAATCACCTATCTAACTCCGTGGCAGTAAAACTGACAGTAGTTTCAAGCTGGCCAAAGCATTTAGCATCGCCAGAGCCATAAGAGCGTCCTTGGGAATAGAGCAGTGGAAATATTTCATTCCTTGGTGCTGACCGCTTGAATGCGCTTCCCGAATCCCTTCGCACAAATCATATCCCCAATTCATTTCGCCAGGAACTTAACAAATTCATTCATCTTGGGCACCCTGTAAGAAGACCTTAGGGTCTGTTGGGAATGCCCAAGTAAAATAATAAAATACAATCCAAAATACAAACTCAACTAGCACGTACTCTGACAATAATACGTTCGCTTGGTAAGTATGGACTAAGGAGACATTTTCGGGGCACGGGTGCATTTCTCCGTGTAAGTATGTTTGGATGTGTACCTCGGATAATACGCACACATTCCTGTACATGATGAGCGCACATCTTTTCGGAGTTCCACTGTGCATGTACTGTACACTGGTAGGAGTTCCACTGTGCATGTACTGTACGCTGGTAGGAGATAATGTAGGCTTGGATGTTGGGACGAAGTCAGTTTGTTTGTCCTCCACTTTGTTTGTTCTCCACTTTGTTTGTCCTCCACTTTGGCACCAACCCAGGCGTCGAGCCATACCTTGTGTGGAGTGCTACTGGATGTCCACACTCTACTACAACCAGGCCATACAGTTCCTCAAGCAGCTGCCACCGCCGGTGCCGCCGTTCTAATGCATCATCACATGTGCACACACCAGCCCGTGCATACCAGCCCGTCAAACACCGGGTGTACAGCAGCAGAAACTACTCACGTCCCATCGGCAGTTTCGGAGAAGACAAAGACAATGCCAGCCATCTGCAGGCAGTCCCTAGCCTTGTCTCGGTGTCACACCAGGACCTTGATAAACCCAAACCCATGCCCTTTTCATTCTCGGAATTGCAAGGTTTTAGAGTTGAGATTTTAGCATGATTGCTTAGCAAAGAGTGTTGAAATATTATGTGTTTTGTTTCATTCATGAATCGTATAATAGAAACAGACTAACAGAGTGTTAAAAATGTCACTGCAAAGAACGAAATACGTATGACAGAGAACGTCAAGTCATTTTAAGAGAATAATGCTGCTTCATCTGATTGTGGATTTATATTATTTTGATGACAAGCAGATGAACACTATAATTATTTTGTTGAGAATTTCATGCCAAATTATTTTTCAGAGAACCTCTATATAAACTGTCTCGAAACCTAATGATTAAAAACAAAGATGAATAGATTTTTGGTTGGAGGAAAACAAAGATGATGATGCCATACAGCTGCCTAATTGTCACATGATGCTGACGATGATGTCATCGTATTACAGGATTACATCATTCCTCTAGAGGATTACATCTTTCCTCTTGAGGATTACATCGTCATACTGCACTACAGTCCTTTGTTGTAGAAGACGCGCCTGATGGAGGAACCGTCCGGTCTGGCTGCAATGGACTTCTGCAAGCGCGGCTCCAGTTTCTTCACATCCATAGTACTGTGGAAAGAATACAGTGAGTGAGATGTGTGTACAACGAATAAAGGAGTCTTGATGTCGCATCATTCTCAGTCTTATCTCACGGCTGGTATTGCACAGCTACCAACTTATTCATTTCAACATTCAGTCCAAGCCAGACATAACCAGTTACGGATCTTGATCAAGTACTGTAAGTCGACAAATTGTCGGCCGCATCAAATTTTCCGCCTGTACGCTGCCATCCGTATACACTGCTGTCACACTGAACCTTGCAAAGCAAGATTTCGGCCGCAACAAATTTTCGGCCAAACATGACCCAAACATGACCAGACCGAAAATAGCCGAAAATAAATATGCGCCGAATATTTGTTGACTTACTGTAGTGGGTTAGTAGTACGTGTAACCATGGTAACTCAATGTGGATGAACATCGCAGCGAGCAGCAACAGTTGCAGCAGTGCCTCGGGGGAATTGATATCATTTTTATCTCCAGGCTGAGAAGAACCCCATACCCTCCAGGTTGGAGATATTCCACCGTTGAGGTGGAATATCTGCTGGCACGGGTAGTAGCAACCCAGCGTATCCACAATGCGTGCTGTGAACGGCATACACCAATGGGCCGTTCACCAGTGAAGAAGTGTACTACTACTACCTCGAAGTACAGTAAAACCTGTAACGAAAGACCACCATGACTAGCGACCAGCCTGGTACCATAGACCACTTCACCAGGCACTGACGGTCTCATATTAATATAAGGTTGTGCTGTGCAAACCTCTAACTAAGGACCACCTGCCATTAAAGACCGCTTTCTCTGGCCCCAAAGGCAAGGGGTGGTCGCTTTTCACAGGTTTTACTGTACTGTAAGTGTACAAATTTTCAGCCCATTCAAATTTCCGACTCCCAGGGCTAAAACACATTTCGGCTGCGACAAATTTTCGACCTCTACTGCTGCCGCCTGTATACACTGTCACACTGAACCTTGCAAAACAAAATTTCGGCTGCAACAAATTTTCGGCCAAATATAATCAGGCTGAAAACAGCCGAAAATAAATACGCGCTGAATATTTGTTTATAGTATGCGTAATTTTTACTTTACTGTAATATACACATCACTGGTCAATGTCTTGCTCTACTTGTGCTGCGGGTTCAGTATATGTGTACATGTTTGTCACATACGGTGTTTAACCGACACATACACTGCCGTATGCAGCACATGCCTGTGTACTCCGCTTGCTTGAAGGAACTGTGCACGACCGAGCACGGAAAGTCGGTCTTTTCGCATTGTTACACATTGCACTGCACTCGACTACCTTGATATAATCCCGGGGCCCCTGCTGTAAGCCGGAAAGCGACACAGCACGTGAGGAGGGGGCAGCGGTGCTTTGACAGTGCTTATAAAAACAATGTCTGTACATAGCTCTGAGCACTCACCTCTTCTGCGGGAACAGCGAGCAACCGAACGGTACCATCACGCATAGCCTACAACAGACAGGCAATACATTGTACACACGTACATTATACTTGTGCTTGCTTACTGCCAAAACTGGTCACATGGGTCTTCCCAGGAGAGGGGAGAGAGATTCAACACATATGTGCACACAATAGTCATATCATCAGTTCACCATTCGAATACACTCCGAATGGAAAAAAAACGATGTAAGAAAGTGGTATACGGGGAGCAATACCAGGCATACTGCCACCACTAACTCGCACACCTAGAAACTACATTGTAGACTGTGAACACTATTGTAAAGCCTGATGATGCACACTTCACTTTGTGTACTTCACTTTGTGTACTTCACTTTGTGTACGGGAAACACATGGGCCATGAGCCAAGCAAGGCGAGCTCAAGACAACTTTTTTCGCGACGCAATGCGTTTCCTGTAAGCGAAATGAAATATGAATCCGTTAAGAGAAGGGCACCAGTCATCACCCTGCACACAACACACAAACACTCCACTGCCAAGAACTGCTGCAAACGAATCAGCTGACACACACACGGGGAGGGGGGGATGACACACACGGCACGGATACGGCAGAGCTAGGGAACTTACGACATTCCAACGAGCAATGTTTGGATAGGAGCATTCAAGTATCTGGCACGCTGCAGGAAAAAACAATGACACCAATGACGATGACATCAATGAGTCAGACAATGACGATGACATCAATGACGGTGATATCAATGACGATTACACATCTGACGAACAAGCTTCGACGTAAATCACATTTGCTAACTTTACAGTTGATTTTGGTTTTGGTTTGATTTTTTTGTGGAAAAATGTGCTGCGCTTGCGTAGTTGTTCTTACTGCGATACGTTCTAACAATAATGAGATGCCTTTTGTCGGCTTTTCTGCCTGGATTTCGTTGACAGATGCATTAAGCCCATGGATCCTTCCATGAGTGACATGCGAACTGTAACTATTATTATTGATTTTTAATTTTAATCTACGTGGAGATAAAAGTTTAATAATAGCAATGAAAAGTATGAATGCCGCAGACATCACCACGCAACATGACAATTTGTTCAAGGTTTGGTTTTGTGTGTTTCCAAAATCGATTTTCACGTTCCAATCATCAGTGGAAATACGGAACTAAAGAGATCAAGGGAAAAACAAAGGTTAAAAATCCAAAGAAGTGTGACACATGACGGGTAACTTGTGGTAAGTTTTACAAAAAGTGAGAACTAAAATAAAGAGTAAGTGTGACAAACGGGCATGAACAGTGCAGAAACAACTCATGAACACGGGGTGCAAACTCACGAAAATAACCTAAGTGCTAAAACATGTTCTTTTTGCTTACACAAATCGGGCTTATGCGTACGAATACAAACAGCTTCAAGGACCTTCAACTGCTGGACATAACGGGCACGACACAGTACAGAGAAGTGGGAATCATCATACACACTCAAACAATCGGGACGAGATAACAAATGCAAATACACAGCTGACTTCTTACGAATTTCACCCTCATCAGCTCCATCACCTTCCCTGCCACCTGACTCCTCCTCGTCCGTTTTATCACCATCACCACCAGCCGTCTCACCGTCATCCGCCTCGTCTTCATCCGCCGCCTCGTCATCACCCGCCTCGTCGTCATCTGTATCCTCGCCGTCATCCGCCTCGTCGTCATCTGTATTCTCGTCATCCGCCGCATCATCACCCAACTCATATTCACCACCAGTCAGTCGTCTGATACCATCCATGTTCTCCTTCCTACGTCTGTCCCGTGTCACTGTCTTTACCTCATCTACGTCCCGAGATTGTGTTCCGTTTTGCCCCCGGCTTCCGGTCTCCTTCGATGCTCCGCGTGGGCCTTGGCCATTCCTAGCATATATTTCGGTTGAATAATTGGCGGTCGACCTCCGTGGTCTCTGGACCCACGGATCAAGCGCCGGAGGGTGCTGCGGTGTCCGCACAGCCGGATACTGTGTCAAAGAAATGGGCTCAATGTCTGTGATTGGCGGTACTGTTGTTGTTGCCGACTCCTCCCAAACCCCAGCCACCAACGGCACTGGTGGTGGCTCCGGTGGCGGCAAGGGCAACGGTGGAGAAGGCACATTCGGTTGGCTTAGTGATCCACCACTCTTCCTCTGCACCGTGTGTTCGACTTGCTCTGGTTGTGTCGGTGGTAGAGGGAGCGGGTTCTTGCGTGGTCTTCCCCGCTTCGGGCGCTTCGCTTTTGCTGCGTCCGGCAGCATGTGAAGTGGTACATGCTGCTTGATACGTGCGCTCAGGTGTTGAAGGGTCCTACCAACGTACCGGCTATCACAATTCCGGCACTCAAATTGGTAGACCAAGTGGCTCAAGTGTGACGCCTTCTTGGACCGATTGAATAACTTACATCCCTCTCTGAAATTCACGGTTGAGCATGAACAGAACAACACCTTGTCCTTTCTAGATGTGCGTGTGGAGAAGTCAAACGATGAAATTGTAACGTCAATATACAGGAAACCAACATTTACCGGACAATATATCGTGTTTGACTCGTATTGTTCGTACCTGTATAAGGTCAACCTGGTGAAGAATCTGGTGGATAGAGCGCGGCGAATCTGTTCCCCCTCTCGACTCAAGGATGAGCTAGGTTTTCTGAAATCTGTGTTTCTCAAAAATGGTTACCCGGAGGAACTGCTAAACAAGCTACTAAAATCAGCATCAAAACCAAAGGTCGTCATCATTGGTCCAAGTCGTTGCCCAGTCTACCTTTCCTTACCTTGGAAAGGAGAGGCATCACAGACATTGTGCCGCACAATCAAAACGCTAGTTACACAAACATACTTTGCGGCGCACTTCATCCCTGTGTTCACTACGATACGTGCGTTCACGGTGAGGAAGGATGTCCTACCATCCCACCTATTGAGCCACTTGGTCTACCAATTTGAGTGCCGGAATTGTGATAGCCGGTACGTTGGTAGGACCCTTCAACACCTGAGCGCACGTATCAAGCAGCATGTACCACTTCACATGCTGCCGGACGCAGCAAAAGCGAAGCGCCCGAAGCGGGGAAGACCACGCAAGAACCCGCTCCCTCTACCACCGACACAACCAGAGCAAGTCGAACACACGGTGCAGAGGAAGAGTGGTGGATCACTAAGCCAACCGAATGTGCCTTCTCCACCGTTGCCCTTGCCGCCACCGGAGCCACCACCAGTGCCGTTGGTGGCTGGGGTTTGGGAGGAGTCGGCAACAACAACAGTACCGCCAATCACAGACATTGAGCCCATTTCTTTGACACAGTATCCGGCTGTGCGGACACCGCAGCACCCTCCGGCGCTTGATCCGTGGGTCCAGAGACCACGGAGGTCGACCGCCAATTATTCAACCGAAATATATGCTAGGAATGGCCAAGGCCCACGCGGAGCATCGAAGGAGACCGGAAGCCGGGGGCAAAACGGAACACAATCTCGGGACGTAGATGAGGTAAAGACAGTGACACGGGACAGACGTAGGAAGGAGAACATGGATGGTATCAGACGACTGACTGGTGGTGAATATGAGTTGGGTGATGATGCGGCGGATGACGAGAATACAGATGACGACGAGGCGGATGACGGCGAGGATACAGATGACGACGAGGCGGGTGATGACGAGGCGGCGGATGAAGACGAGGCGGATGACGGTGAGACGGCTGGTGGTGATGGTGATAAAACGGACGAGGAGGAGTCAGGTGGCAGGGAAGGTGATGGAGCTGATGAGGGTGAAATTCGTAAGAAGTCAGCTGTGTATTTGCATTTGTTATCTCGTCCCGATTGTTTGAGTGTGTATGATGATTCCCACTTCTCTGTACTGTGTCGTGCCCGTTATGTCCAGCAGTTGAAGGTCCTTGAAGCTGTTTGTATTCGTACGCATAAGCCCGATTTGTGTAAGCAAAAAGAACATGTTTTAGCACTTAGGTTATTTTCGTGAGTTTGCACCCCGTGTTCATGAGTTGTTTCTGCACTGTTCATGCCCGTTTGTCACACTTACTCTTTATTTTAGTTCTCACTTTTTGTAAAACTTACCACAAGTTACCCGTCATGTGTCACACTTCTTTGGATTTTTAACCTTTGTTTTTCCCTTGATCTCTTTAGTTCCGTATTTCCACTGATGATTGGAACGTGAAAATCGATTTTGGAAACACACAAAACCAAACCTTGAACAAATTGTCATGTTGCGTGGTGATGTCTGCGGCATTCATACTTTTCATTGCTATTATTAAACTTTTATCTCCACGTAGATTATTTGTATATTTTAAGCGGAGATACTCTAGAGAACAGATAGATACTCTGAATAACGCCCTGCGGAAACGCCATGTTTGTCGTTGCATTTCATTGAATATTTCTTTTCTTAAACAGTGTCGGGAAAGTGGCGTTTGTCCAAGTGCCATACAGAAGCGCGTACACAGAGCCAAGGCGTATCACTCATTAACAATAGAGAGAGTATTCTTGAAGGATGATATCGCCCGGTCCTCCGATACACTTTGTACTATACAGTGTGAGTTCAAACGTTTGTACTGTGTGGCTCGCTCATTCCTTTCTGCCCATGACTATCTTCGATTTAGTTCACTTATTGCTGCTAATGACAACAAATTACAGACGAGGCTCATTGCGAAATACGAGAAGAATCTGAAGTGGTTACGCACAAAACGTTATGGCGCGATACAGATCAACACAGACACCATCATTAACCGAGCCAACATTGAGCTCTCTACCGTTCAAAAGGAACTGCTATGTCGGGGTACTGACTTCGGCATTCCTCCTGCCAATAACAAGAAGGAGGTAGTACTCACGGAGTTTGAATTATTCTACAAGAAGCTTCAGCAGCTCAAGCCCGTGTCTGATGCCCAGCAGGCTGTATGCACTGCCAGTATCAGAGCGGTTGCGGAAGAACATGCTGCAAAACCGCCGGACCGCAGCAAATTTTACCTGTCCCGTGAACACCTCAAAGTCCGACGTGAACTCAGTAACAATCATGATATCTTAATTACCAGACCGGACAAAGGACGCGCAACGGTCATAATGAGCCGAACAGAGTACATATCAAAAATGGCGGTTATCCTGAACGATGACTCCAAGTTCGTGAAACTCGGACCAGTTTCCACTCATGATAATACAACATAAGTAGAGAAACGCCTGATAACATACCTAAAGAAATTGAAAGCTGAGAAAGAAATTTCGGTCTCAGAGTTCATGAGAATCAAGCCAATAGGCTCCGCCCGCCTGCGACTCTATGGCTTGCCAAAGATCCATAAGCCGAATTGTCCATTACGCCCAATATTATCAATGGTAGCATCCCCACAGTACAAAGTATCGAAGTGGCTTTGTTTGATGCTTGGAGCTGTGCAAGATTATTACTGTAAGAACATTGTCAAGGATAGCTTCCAGTTTGTAGACCTCATTCGCACTCGCCAGATTCCCGCTACAGCGCACATGTGCTCATTTGATGTGGTCAGTTTGTTCACGAATGTACCGTTGGAACAGACCATAGATATTTGTGCGGATGTTCTCTATCACAATAACTCTGTTGACACGCCATGGCTGCCTGAATCCTCCTTCCGTACACTGATGTCTCTTGTTACTACGGGCGTTGAGTTTTCATTTGATAACGTGATGTATAGGCAGGTGGATGGGGTAGCCATGGGATCACCATTAGGTCCAGTGTTGGCAAATATATTTGTTGGCTACTGCGAATCTCTTGTGGACCCGTCACTGTGGCCGGAGTTTTACGTTCGTTTTGTCGACGACTCGTTCACATATTTTGATTCAGTACAACAGTGTGACGCCTTCTTGGACCGATTGAATAACTTACATCCCTCTCTGAAATTCACGGTTGAGCATGAACAGAACAACACCTTGTCCTTTCTAGATGTGCGTGTGGAGAAGTCAAACGATGAAATTGTAACGTCAATATACAGGAAACCAACATTTACCGGACAATATATCGTGTTTGACTCGTATTGTTCGTACCTGTATAAGGTCAACCTGGTGAAGAATCTGGTGGATAGAGCGCGGCGAATCTGTTCCCCCTCTCGACTCAAGGATGAGCTAGGTTTTCTGAAATCTGTGTTTCTCAAAAATGGTTACCCGGAGGAACTGCTAAACAAGCTACTAAAATCAGCATCAAAACCAAAGGTCGTCATCATTGGTCCAAGTCGTTGCCCAGTCTACCTTTCCTTACCTTGGAAAGGAGAGGCATCACAGACATTGTGCCGCACAATCAAAACGCTAGTTACACAAACATACTTTGCGGCGCACTTCATCCCTGTGTTCACTACGATACGTGCGTTCACGGTGAGGAAGGATGTCCTACCATCCCACCTATTGAGCCACTTGGTCTACCAATTTGAGTGCCGGAATTGTGATAGCCGGTACGTTGGTAGGACCCTTCAACACCTGAGCGCACGTATCAAGCAGCATGTACCACTTCACATGCTGCCGGACGCAGCAAAAGCGAAGCGCCCGAAGCGGGGAAGACCACGCAAGAACCCGCTCCCTCTACCACCGACACAACCAGAGCAAGTCGAACACACGGTGCAGAGGAAGAGTGGTGGATCACTAAGCCAACCGAATGTGCCTTCTCCACCGTTGCCCTTGCCGCCACCGGAGCCACCACCAGTGCCGTTGGTGGCTGGGGTTTGGGAGGAGTCGGCAACAACAACAGTACCGCCAATCACAGACATTGAGCCCATTTCTTTGACACAGTATCCGGCTGTGCGGACACCGCAGCACCCTCCGGCGCTTGATCCGTGGGTCCAGAGACCACGGAGGTCGACCGCCAATTATTCAACCGAAATATATGCTAGGAATGGCCAAGGCCCACGCGGAGCATCGAAGGAGACCGGAAGCCGGGGGCAAAACGGAACACAATCTCGGGACGTAGATGAGGTAAAGACAGTGACACGGGACAGACGTAGGAAGGAGAACATGGATGGTATCAGACGACTGACTGGTGGTGAATATGAGTTGGGTGATGATGCGGCGGATGACGAGAATACAGATGACGACGAGGCGGATGACGGCGAGGATACAGATGACGACGAGGCGGGTGATGACGAGGCGGCGGATGAAGACGAGGCGGATGACGGTGAGACGGCTGGTGGTGATGGTGATAAAACGGACGAGGAGGAGTCAGGTGGCAGGGAAGGTGATGGAGCTGATGAGGGTGAAATTCGTAAGAAGTCAGCTGTGTATTTGCATTTGTTATCTCGTCCCGATTGTTTGAGTGTGTATGATGATTCCCACTTCTCTGTACTGTGTCGTGCCCGTTATGTCCAGCAGTTGAAGGTCCTTGAAGCTGTTTGTATTCGTACGCATAAGCCCGATTTGTGTAAGCAAAAAGAACATGTTTTAGCACTTAGGTTATTTTCGTGAGTTTGCACCCCGTGTTCATGAGTTGTTTCTGCACTGTTCATGCCCGTTTGTCACACTTACTCTTTATTTTAGTTCTCACTTTTTGTAAAACTTACCACAAGTTACCCGTCATGTGTCACACTTCTTTGGATTTTTAACCTTTGTTTTTCCCTTGATCTCTTTAGTTCCGTATTTCCACTGATGATTGGAACGTGAAAATCGATTTTGGAAACACACAAAACCAAACCTTGAACAAATTGTCATGTTGCGTGGTGATGTCTGCGGCATTCATACTTTTCATTGCTATTTTTAATTTTAACTTCACATTTTGTGTGTGCATTTTGCCTTCTTTTTAAAATAATAATATTAATATAAACTGGCTTGCACAACCCCCTCCCGCAGTCACACATTAAACTGTGACCAGGGGGTAGGAAAATACCAGTATTTTATTACTCCCTGACTGTGACAACCTTCCACTCACCTGATAGAATGATTTCTTTTCAAGTAGCTCCATAACGATCGGAACAAACACTGCAGACAACAACAGAACACACAATACAGAGCACAGAGCAGGAGATCAGCCACAACAAAACAGAGATGTTGTGACAAAACTTACAGGCAAACCAACATGGCGAAACTTGTGCAGTGGGCGCTTAGATATTTATTGATTTTCGAGTAAGGGCACTGGATAGTGGAGAGAGAGTGAGTTTTGGCAAACCATGGAGATAGAGAGAATGGGAGAGGGGGATTTGCATACTGTGAACTGTACAATGTATGCGATATATTAATGTTTGCTAATTTTGCGAGAAGAGCATCAAGCGAATATTAACCATCGTGAAATCAAACTGTATGTGTGTGACCATAGGGATCAGCGAAAATTTGCCATCGTAAACTCACCTGTACAAAGAAATCGCAAAAATTTAGTGACGCGAATATTGGGTGGTTTACAGTACAGTCAACTTTGCGTATAACGACACTCGGCGGGGCATCAGAAAAGTGTCCTTATTCGCGAAGTGTCCTTGTACCCGAAGTCTCATTATATGTATTACAGTTAGACGGGACTTTGCTCTGGGCATGGAAATTCTGTCATTATTCGCGAATTGTCATAATATCCGCAGTCGTTACTAGCGAAGTTCTTTCGTTGAAGAAAAGCTTGGTATCTTAGCACCAATAGCTCATAGCCCGTACATGGTACATCGGTCCATGCACCCCTCCCCCCCCCCCCCCCCAAAAAAATCACTGTCCCCAACCCTCCTATCCATGACGTCATTGCCATGTGGATAACAACGTACGCATTCCAGGAGCGGCCATTGTAATTCTGGAGAAGCAGACTTGGGCGACGGCTTTCTTGGCAGCTTTCTGTAGAATTAGAAGCACACATGCATTTATACATACGCGCGCGCGCACACACAGTCACCGACACGGTGTGCTATCAACAGCACTGAACTCTGATGTCTCGAATGCAAACACGTATGAACCGGATGACAGACTCGAGGCACACGCATTCCCAGCATTCCGGAGGACGCGGGTGGGCTATACACATGCCAGAACACAATACAGTGGTCCCTTTACAATCCGGCATCGTTTGTGCTATGGAAGTTCTGCTGCATTAGGAAGGGTGCTGGATTAGAAAATCTGATTCACTGCTGCAATGGGCGCAACAAGGACATTCGGATTGCTGAAAATTTACAATGCAGTTGCGTGATGTCCCCCACTTTCTGAGTGAAAACCTATGTTGGTTTTTAAAGTGCTGGATTAACGAGGGACGACTGAGTACATGTGCTAGAGATCTTACACGTGAATAGCCCAGCTCCTCTCCATGTTCGTCAGTCACCAGTATGCCGTCAAGAAGTTCTCTGAGAGGAGTGGTGGCAGCACAACAAGATCACCATCAGCAGTCACACAGTACAACACTCACATCCCACATCAACTCTGTATAGTCTTGTGCACATCAACTCAGCATAGTGTTGTGCAGGTCAAATCTGCAGGAAAAGTGAATACTAGCATAGCATGCAGCTCCGGCGAGAAAGAAAGGACTGTGCAGCTTGAGGATCTGCAGTTGACGTATGACCGAGAACCCTGGACATAGTATTGCAGTTGAAAACAGGCCAGCCAGTCTGACCAGCAGAGGCGTAAC